TGAAGGAAGCATTGAATGGGTTGATTCAAGACATATGGGCTGATTGTGCAAGTTCAAGCATGGAGCATGATCCACTTGGGCAAAGAAGATCCATCAATATAATTCAAGTTCTAGAAGATTCCGGCAAAGGCTAAACTTAAAATTGACATGTTTAAAATTGGTCTGATTGTAAGACTTTCCTTATCTATTTAGGCATGTGAGTTATTCTTTTTAGGAAATAATGACTTTTCTAGTTTAATTAGGCATGTGATCAGCATATTAAAAGGTTGATTGTGTTTTTCTCTTTTAGGAAAGTAAGAGCTATTTATTTACCAACAAGTAAGAGATATTTCTTTACCCACAAGGAAGAGATATTTCTTCACCAACAAATAAGAGATATTTCTTAAATAGGATAAGCTAATTTAGGAAGTTTTCTTTGTAATAACCAACCTATAAATAGGCGTTCAAAGCATTGTCAAAGACAAAATATTTTTATGAGTATTGTGAGGTTTTTACTTTATTGTTCTTCCAAGAATTATTTCAAGAACTTATCAAGAATTAATTTTTCTTGTGGCATTCATCGACTTATCGCTCAATCTTGAGTGTGACGTCTTTCTCTTGAACTTTTAACCTTAGGTTCTTGTTTCTTGTAAACATTGAGTCTAGGGTTCTTGGTTCTTATAATCTGATATGTGGACTTTCTTGGGGAGTCTTCAATCAATTTGTCGTGGATTCTTGAATTCGTTTATGGGTTCGTGTCAGTTGTACAAAACCAATTTATGCATCATCAGTTTGGCGCCGTCTGTGGGAACGACAAAATTCTCACCTAAGTACTTCTGTTGTTGTACCTATGGCGATCACCACCGGATCCATGAATCAGCCTGAAGATATTCCACCACGAAAGGAGGAGATTCCTCCTCCACTAACCAATTACGTTCCAAATGCACAACAGATATTGGACACAATACAACAGCTCTAGCTCAGAATCAGCAGATTCTAAAACTAATGTTTGTTGGACAACAAGGTGGAGCACCCTCCCGGAGGACCTCAAGCTAGAGGAGATCCACACCCTGGGCATCAAGGAGCTTCCCACTTGGGCGCCCCCTTAGGAGCCCCACACAGTGGAGCCCATCATGAGGGACCTCCACCTCCCTCTTCTCATGGTGAAGACCCACATTTTTAAGAGGATGAGGGCAAAAACCAAAGCATGGAACATGGAAGTCATTTCCATGACAATTCTAAAGGAGCTCCCAACCACTAGGACAAAAAATCAAAGAAGTGCAGAATCAGCTAGGCGACGTCTTCAACGCCTAAAGGCACAAGGACCCGAAAATCATGGATTACCTAGTAAGGCAAACCGACACACCCTTTGTACCAGATGTGGCGAATAACCCACTTCTCCAAAAGTTCAAAATGCCTTTCGTAGAAACTTTCGACAGTACAAAGGACCCACTTGATCACCTTGAAACCTACAAGACCTTAATGCAACTATACAACGTCCCCGAAGAAATTATGTGTAGGGCATTCCCAACTATCTTGAAGAGATCAGCCCGATAATGGTTCGTCAAACTCATCCTAGCCTCCATAGGCTTCTTCGCTGAACTAAGTAGATCCTTTGTGGCACATTTCATTGGTGGATGCCGCCACCAGAAGCCTTTCACCCCGCCTGCTCAACATAAAAAAAGACCGGGATGAAAGCCTGAGGAGTTACCTTACTCGTTTTAATGAGAAGGTCCTCTACAATGAGAAGCCCTATGACAAGGTCACCATGACCGCTTTCTTGGGAGGCCTACGCTCATCTAGCTTTCTCGTTTCAATAATGAAGCACCTACTAAAGAGCATACCAGAATTGTGGGCAAAAACTCAAAAATACATAAACGCCAAGGATGTCACCAAATTCTGGNCAATAATGAAGCACCTACTAAAGAGCATACCAGAATTGTAGGCAAAAACTCAAAAATACATAAACGCCAAGGATGTCACCAAAGTCTGGCTAGGTGAGTCCTCGCAATTATCATCACCACCTGCACCCGACTCTAAAAAAAAAGACACAAAGGCATAGGCATTAATAGATTTTATGGCTAAGCTCACATCGCTTGAGGAGATAGATTGTCAAGAAGACTCAGCGCCAAACGCCAAGGGCCCATCAGTGCTTCTACTCAGGCGCTCAACTCCTCAGGCACCAGAACCCAGGCACCTAACTCCTTAGGATCCAAGCCTCAAGTGCCCAGCTCCTCAGGCGCCAGCCCTTAGAGGCCAGTTTCTCAAGCTCTAGGCCCAAGGTGCCCCATCTATTGGAATGTGCCTCCGGCTTGGTGACCCTCCCATAGGCTAACCCTCAAATTCTACTCTCATTCGGGCACCCTCATAGTCAGTATATCTCCAGCTTAGCAGCTCTCTCGCGGGTCGCCAAAAGCTTGGCCCTATCTCTGCTCTACTCTTAAGCAAGCAGCCTATCTCCAGCTTAGCGACTTTCTCGCTGGTCGCCAAAAGCTTGGCCCTATCTCTACTCTGCTCTCAAGCAGGCATCCTATCTCCAGCTTAGCGGTTCTCTCACAGGTCGCCAAAAGCTTGGTTTATCTCTGTTTTGCTCTACTCTAAAGCAGACAGCCTATCTCTAACTTATCGGCTCTCTTGGGGGTCGTCAAAAGCTTAGTCTATCTTTACTCTACTCTTAAGCAAACAACCTATGTCTCTAGCTTAGCGGCTCTCTCGTTGGTCACCAAAAACTTGGCCTATCTCTGCATTGCTTTCAAGTAGGCAGCCTATGTTTCCAGCTTGAAGGCTCCCTCGTGGGTTGCCAAAAGCTTAACCTATCCCTACTCTGCTCTCAAGCAGGCAACCTATGTCTCCAACTTAATAGCTCCCTCGCGAGTTACCAAAAAGCTTGGTCTATCTCTACTCTATTTTCAAGCAGGCAGCCTATACCTTCAGCTTAGCAACTCTCTTACGAGTCGCCAAAAACTCGGTCTCGAAAGGTATAGCTCTCTCACAAGCAACCGTCAAATTCTACCTCTGTTCTCATGCGAGCAGCCTCATAGTCAGCCTACCTCCGCCAGAAGCTCGATCTTAAGAGGTGTAGCTTTCTCACAAATAACCTAAAACTCTATCATTACTCTCATGCAAGCAGCCTTTATTTCTTTACAGGCCGATGTGTCTGTCCCTCTGTCCAGGCAATCATGTTGGATATTTTGATGTTTGAGTAACATTGTTTTAGCGATCTCTAGACACACTCTTGAAACTCATGCAACCCGATNGCATAAAAAAAGACCGGGATGAAAGCCTGAGGAGTTACCTTACTCATTTTAATGAGAAGGTCCTCTACAATGAGAAGCCCTATGACAAGGTCACCATGACCGCTTTCTTGGGAGGCCTACGCTCATCTAGCTTTCTCGTTTCAATAATGAAGCACCTACTAAAGAGCATACCAGAATTGTGGGCAAAAACTCAAAAATACATAAACGCCAAGGATGTCACCAAATTCTGGCTAGGTGAGTCCTCGCAATTATCATCACCACCTGCACCCGACTCTAAAAAAAAAAGACACAAAGGCATAGGCATTAATAGATTTTATGGCTAAGCTCACATCGTTTGAGGAGATAGATTGTCAAGAAGACTCAGCGTCAAACGCCAAGGGCCCATCAGTGCTTCTACTCAGGCGCTCAACTCCTCAGGCGCCAGGACCCAGGCACCCAACTCCTTAGGATCCAAGCCTCAAGTGCCCAGCTCCTCAGGCGCCAGCCCTTAGAGGCCAGTTTCTCAAGCTCTAGGCCCAAGGTGCCCCATCTATTGGAATGTGCCTCCGGCTTGGTGACCCTCCCATAGGCTAACCCTCAAATTCTACTCTCATTCGGGCACCCTCATAGTCAGTATATCTCCAGCTTAGCAGCTCTCTCGCGGGTCGCCAAAAGCTTGGCCCTATCTCTGCTCTACTCTTAAGCAAGCAGCCTATCTCCAGCTTAGCGACTTTCTCGCTGGTCGCCAAAAGCTTGGCCCTATCTCTACTCTGCTCTCAAGCAGGCATCCTATCTCCAGCTTAGCGGTTCTCTCACAGGTCGCCAAAAGCTTGGTTTATCTCTGTTTTGCTCTACTCTAAAGCAGACAGCCTATCTCTAACTTATCGGCTCTCTTGGGGGTCGTCAAAAGCTTAGTCTATCTTTACTCTACTCTTAAGCAAACAACCTATGTCTCTAGCTTAGCGGCTCTCTCGTTGGTCACCAAAAACTTGGCCTATCTCTGCATTGCTTTCAAGTAGGCAGCCTATGTTTCCAGCTTGAAGGCTCCCTCGTGGGTTGCCAAAAGCTTAACCTATCCCTACTCTGCTCTCAAGCAGGCAACCTATGTCTCCAACTTAATAGCTCCCTCGCGAGTTACCAAAAAGCTTGGTCTATCTCTACTCTATTTTCAAGCAGGCAGCCTATACCTTCAACTTAGCAACTCTCTTACGAGTTGCCAAAAACTCGGTCTCGAAAGGTATAGCTCTCTCACAAGCAACCATCAAATTCTACCTCTATTCTCATGCGAGCAGCCTCATAGTCAGCCTACCTCCACCAGAAGCTCGATCTTAAGAGGTGTAGCTTTCTCACAAGTAACCTAAAACTCTATCATTACTCTCATGCAAGCAGCCTCTATTTCTTTACAGGTCGATGTGTCTGTCCCTCTGTCCAGGCAATCACGTTGGATATTTTGATGTTTGAGTAACATTGTTTTAGCCATCTCTAGACACACTCTTGAAACTCATGCAACCCGATGGACAACATTAGATTGAATGTCAACAATCAGGTCTCATTCTTTTTGCGGCTATCCGGCACCGCCACATCATTGCCACAGCACTCCCACGCTTAACACCAAGCACAAACAAGCATGCTTGCTCCCAACACTAAGGATTTAGCACTTGCTCCTGGCAATAGCCTCATGTCACCCAGTTCTTCGCACACCCCCTTGGGGCGCCTAACTCCCAACGTCCCTTCCTCCTCCACCTATGCAGGCCCATGCCCAGAATCCATCACTATTGCTCCTGACTAGCCCAACATCGAAGATCCCATCTGCGCGACCCGTTCACTATCGCGCTCGCCAAACCCTGCCCAGCACCTGGTGATGTCGTTGCAGGCTCCCCTGGCTGAGCCTAGCCCACGACGATGCCTTCTCCATGGAGCACCCAAGCTTGCCAATGCCAGCTTCGATGCCAATTGCTCCGTTGTTGCCTACCTCCTCTTCAATGACAATGACTTCTTGCATCTCCCCTCTTTCATCCCGACAGCAATCTCCGGTTACCTAGCTCTTGGGTAATCTCCCTGGCCTCACTCAACTTTCTACCACTCATGGTCATGAACCGTATCAAGAAGGAAAAGGGATCATTAGTCAAAAAGAGTTTCCATCACCTAGAATTCAAATTCAACCAAATGCCCTCTTCTCTAAGTTTTATTGGACACGGGACATTGCGGAGCAAATGATGTACCAAGCCCGAAAGCCCAACTCAAGTTATAAGCCTAGTTTGAATTAAGAGTCCAACTAGACAAGATCCAATGGATCCAGCACAAAAAAGGTCCACATCCAGTCAAGCTCATCAGGATTCGATGAGCTATATCACCAAGGGAGTAGGCAAGGTCATTCCAAAAGCCTCATCCAAGCCACCTTGGAATAAGAGTCATCCCAAGAGTCTCATTCAAGCCACCTTGGAGTAAGCGTCATCCCAAGTGCCTCATCCAAGCCACCTTGGAGGCAGGGTTATCCTGAGAGCCTCATTCACGCCGCCTTGGAAGAAGTCAACTACCACGTCATCCTTTAACCGGATCTTATGGGGAGCATCGTAACTGCCTCATTCATTAAGAAAATGGCGTCAACTCCACCAAATTAATCTTGTAGTTACTGATAAGTCGCCTCAATCTGTTAGGGGAAGACTATAAATTGTAAACTCCACCAACACTTGGGAGGCATCTCACACATTTGACCACATCTACTATCACACTCTCCTTTCTCTCATAACTTGTGTCTCCCCAATCTCTCGATACTCCTCGAAGTAATAAAATACTCAGGCGATCCTAGCCCTTCANGTCATCCTTTAACCGGATCTTATGGGGAGCATCGTAACTGCCTCATTCATTAAGAAGATGGCGTCAACTCCACCAAATTAATCTTGTAGTTACTGATAAGTCGCCTCAATCTGTTAGGGGAAGACTACAAATTGTAAGCTCCACCAATACTTGGGAGGCATCTCACACATTTGACCACATCTACTATCACACTCCCCTTTCTCTCATAACTTGTGTCTCCCCAATCTCTTTATACTCCTTGAAGTAATAAAATACTCAGGCGATCCTAGCCCTTTATAGTGGATAGGTTACGTTGACCGAACCACTCTATATTTTTGTCTATCTTGAGTTACTCTCTCTCTATTTAATTACTGCATTAATTACCAATCACTTGAAAGGTGGTGTACAAAACCAATTTATGCACCATCATCATAGATGTCTGTAATCGATCATGACCTCCCTTGAGCAGGTATAACTTCTCCTTTCAAAGTTATAACTTTTCCTTTCAAAGTTATAACTTTATCATACAAAGTAATAACCCATAGTAGCAGTATTGAAAAAAAAATTTCCATACCGTAGAGTTTGCCCTGTCTAAATATCNATTTATGCACCATCATCATAGATGTCTGTAATCGATCATGACCTCCCTTGAGCAGGCATAACTTCTCCTTTCAAAGTTATAACTTTATCATACAAAGTAATAACCCATAGTAGCGGTATTGAAAAAAAATTTCCATACCGTAGAGTTTGCCCTGTCTAAATATCTCTATCCACATATATGCATGCGTTATCCATGAATCATAGTGAACCGTGTTGTCACAAAAAGAAAGAAAGAAAGAAAGAAAAAGGAAAAACAATTTTGCTCACGGCTGCTAGGAAGGATTTCTTGCATAGAGGAAACCAATATGTAAAGGAAACTATGTTGTTGACCATAAAAAATGTGAACACGAGGCCGTGACCACAAGTTTTGAAAAGGAAACAATTTTTAATCGACATAAGATAACAAACATGATATGGGCACCCTTTGCTTCTCTATTTTTCCTTATATTCTTCCAGTTTTCTAGCTTCCGGCGAAACTTTGGGGTAACTTAGTTCTATGTATGTTTTTTTCCCGATAGGTAAATAAATTGTATTTCAAAAAAATAAAGATACTAACTGAAAGCTCAAGACAAGCTCTAAAGGGTCCACCACCAACAAGGGACGGAACCGAAATTTTAACGTGAGGGGGGTCAAACTGGAGCAATGACACGGTCAAAAATTTTATTCATGAGACCAACCATGTTATTTTTAATATCAAATTGTTAGTTGTATAAAATTTATCAAAATCAATTGTTATACTGTGGCCTAATCTTAAATTGCACCCTGAAAGATGATTTAAATTTTAATTTGCACCTTCAAAGTTTAAAAATATCAATTTATACCCTAAAAGATATAAATTTATATCAATGTGAACCGGAGTCAACTATCGTTAAAAAAATTTGGGCTAATTGCAAATAGTATCTTTAAATTTAAATATTTTATATTTATGACCAAAAAGAATTTCATCGATTAATAGTTATTAAATATCTTTCAATTTTGTCGTATCGTAACATTTTTGTGTCGTGTCATTTTGTATCACGTTATATTATTTTTGTATTGTGTTTGAGTTAATAAAAAATTATTTTTAATAAAAAATATTTTCTTATCGAGTCAATTGTATTGTATCTTATATTTCACATTTACAACAATTCATATAATACTATTTAAAAAAAATAAAATACTTATTTTTTGCTTATAATACTCATTAAATATATATTTTTTATTTAAAGTTAAGCACGACACGACACAATTGAGAACTATTTAACGAGCATTAATGAATGTAATTTTTTTTATATCTTATATGTGAATTATTTAAAATTTAAGGGTTTAATTTATAATTAGTCCAAATTTTTTTAAAAGCAAAATGGATGGTGGTTTGCTCCAGTTGCACATTGACACGAATTTATATTTTTTAGGGTATAAATTAATGTTTTTAAACTTTAAGGGTATAAATTAAGATTCAAGTAATCTTTTAACATGCAAGTTGAGATTAGCTCTTATACTATATCATAAGAAAATTGACCAATTGGCCTTTAGTCAAATGATAATTCTTGTCTTATAAATGTTTTGTCTTCTTTAAGTCAAGGTTTCAAGTCTCCATCTCTAATATATGTATTTATATCATAAGAAAATTAGTTTGGATCATAATATCTAAAAACATATTCGTACCTATAATCATAAAAATTAATATGTGACAATGTACGATCCACTTATTCATTTTTTTTTTATCACAATCCACTTATTCTTTTACTTATCATATGATGTAGTGATTACGAATAAATTATTTTAAATATTAGTTTTACACAATACTTTTGACAAATTAATAGGTAGTGCCTCGTTTATCATATAAGCAACTTTCTTTCTTCTTTTCGGTCATCAAAATAATTTTAGCAAATGTCTTTGTTCGTAAAAGAAAAAATCATCCATTTTGATTAGCATTAATCATTTGGTTATTAAAGGCCATTTAATTTATTTGATTAACAATAGATATATAAAAAATTATGAAAATTTAAGGGGAGATATTAAAAGTTATTTAAAACATAAAACGGGTCAAAGGTATTTTTGAAAATTTGAGGGGGGGACCATGGCCCCTTAAGCCCCCATTTGGTTCCGTCCGTGCCAGCAACCTTGTAAAGAAGAGCTCTTCACACCTAACCCTTACAAAATTTAGCATTACATCCACAAGCTAAGATTCACACAGGCCTTAATAACACCTACTAAGTACTAACGATGAGCCTTTTACATCTTTTGAAGTCCCTTAAGGTATTGATATTGGATCTTCTACCCTTCAAACTTTGAATCCTTCCATGTAACTTTCTCTTGTTTCTCTCTTTAGATGGGAGATCCCTTTCAAAAAGATCATCATCAAAGGAATTATCAAGATCTTCTTCTAACTCCTCAACCTTATCGTTCTCCTTCACATAGTAGTTCTATGTATGTTAATCTAGACGTATCAATTGTGTTTGTGGTGTTGTTTTGAGTCAAATACAAGTTGATTCACATTAGATAACTTGACATGAACTCAATTTGTGTGTAAAACATGTCGTGTTCTGAGCAATACAAATAGAAAAAAAAAGCCCATAAACAAAGACCCAGTAGGGTCCCTTTTCCTTGGTCAAACCAACCATACGTCCTCAAATCCTGTTGTATGGGACATGTCTCGTACAATATTTGAGATAGCAGCAACTTGGCTTGCACTTAAAGGACGACTTTGGACCCTTGGATTGAATAACCTATCACTCGTAGAGAAGGGTTAGAAGGGATGTCAAATGTGTCTTCGATGTTTTCACTTTGATACTAAAATCAATTTCTGAGGAGGTAGATGAGACACAAGGCTATCACTAGGTTTAAGTTGCATAGCTTTGGTTCTTATATTAGTATCCTATTTATACCTTCTACGAGAGCAGTTGTGTCATGCTAGCTCATCTAGCTTACCATGTTCACGAGAAGCCTTCCGACTGGTCCGTACCAAAGACAATTGGAATTCTCCGTTGACCTGATCAGATGGGCATGTCTCGAACAGATATCCTACTTCGCCTCAATCGTTGACACTCCGCATGCATGGGCACATTAAACTGCATTAATGACATTAAATGTTCGGTGGCCTGACTGGCATCGAGCACTTACTACACATTCAGTGCCCTTTGCCCTTACCTTCTTGAGGGTTAATTGTTTCTCCGATACAAACATGTGCTTATATGGAACATTTATTAGCCATTGAAGCATCGAGCGTTCATTGAGCATTTAAGAACAGTTCTCAAGATTAGTCGCAGTCTACTTTTTTAATATTTCTGACCTTTTAGGGGATGGAACATGCTTGTTGATTGTTCGAGTACGAATTTTCAGCAGTCATTCCTTCAATTACTCCCAGGTAGACATATCCCTCAAGGTCGTCTCAATGGGTGAGTCTGTATATGGTCTTAAACAGAGGATATCTCCTTTGCTCTTGTCGTTATCGTTCCCTTGGTGTCATCATCCTTGAGACCAAGTGACACCGATGCAGGAGCGTCAAGTCACCATTAAGGTGCTTGCCACCGAAATGCCAAGGGGTGCAAACTCATTTCTTACCCTTGCTCGGCATGGTAGACTTTTGTAAGTTATTTAAGCATTCGGGAATCCCTCTACGGG